AACATACATGTTCTTCAGGGTTGTGAATAGAAACATTCAAAACTTTCGGTTTATTTTCTAACTGTGGGTGCCCTAAATGTTTTTGGTTTATTTTACTAATTAAATTGTTTTTTGAATTTAAATTGAAATTACAGAGAAAGATCGTTGATATGATTAATCGACGAAGGTCATATCATTTGAGGTCGTTTTCTGCTATTTTATGGTGGTCTAAATCTCTTATGGAAGCATGAGTTTATACGTAGGTTGCTGAACGTCCAAGGTTGAATATGGAGGCGCTTATAGATTTGGAGAGTGATGAAAAAAGCTTTCAGATGGTAATGTGTTCTTCCATCGTATGACTTGGCAGTTTGTGGTGTATTTTGCAATTTGTGGTTCTATTGGGGCCAGAATACTTAAAATGAAGGTACTATCAAGAATTAGAAAATTTTTCCTTTGAGAGGTGATTGTCTTGCATTACCTTGCCCTGTTTTTGCTATTAAGGTTGCCTAGGATGTATTATTGTTGTTTCCAAAAATGTTTCCGTATATTCTTTTAGGAAATAATTTATTAGGAGGTTTATACACCGCTATTATGGTTGTATATTTGTTGTTTATTGTGGTGTTTATTGCTATAGTTTCTAGATTGATGCTCGTATGTTAATTAACGTTGTTTTGTGCACGAGTATGGCTATTCCTCCTGCTACCGTCCGAGAGACGGTCGTTGCCATAGATATTAAAGTCTGGTACAGAAAACTTCATCTGTGGTAACAGGTGAGTTTCTGAGACACTGTTTTTGTGTTGTGCCTTGTTATAAATTTAGCAATATATTTTCTTGCCTTTTTATTCCGTTCGCGCTCCAGTTGAGAATATTTATTTCTGCATTTTTATTTAGATCCATTAATGAGGGCCAATTGTACTATTGAATGCTCATGATTTTGTGGAATGAGTGCGTTTATTACTTGGTTAATGATTGTTGTTATCTGCCCTAGGTGTGAAGGGAGGTTGGAATTAATTTGCCGGGAACTTTGGAAACTAATTATTTAAGAGTTTGTGAACCAGGGATTATTGGGAGAAAGGTGATTTGGGTTAGTCTGTTCTGGATGATTTTGAGGAAATTGTTTTTGGTCATAAGTTTTTTCTTTGTCTCAGTAAAGTTTCTAATTTTAAATGTCTGTTGTTTTTGGTTATACCGCTCGGATTGATTTTAAACAGTTTATGATAAAATTAACATCCTTTCCAATTAGCCATGTGATTTTTTTTCGAGTTTACGCATTCAGAAGTTGTTTCCGCTTATAATTCCGTGAATTTAGTTAGTATTAGTGGTCGTTACCCGAACACATAACGCATCTCGGGGGCACCCACAGTTATCTTGAGTGTCTGGCACATTTTACATTGAATTGAAAATCTGTTGTTGAATCTAGGAAATACTCTAGTAACACATATAATAATAAATCTAAGGATATAATGCTTTTTCCCTTGTTTTTATCCTAGAAATCTACAGCAAAAGACGTTAATGTTTTCTGACTTTTCCGTAAAGGCGAGTTACTTTTATTACTGGGAATTTTTTCACTAGTTTTGGAAGATTTCTGTTTCAGTAAATAACGGATGAACATATTTTATAACTGTTGAAAATGTGTGTATGCATCCGTCCCGAAACGTATGATATTATATACCCTTCTCATTGCAAAATTTACGTAGGTCTCTAAAATCTTCTTCCGACTTAAGTTTAACTTTCACTTTGTCTGCTTCTACTCTTGTTGTGAAATTAAGCGTACTTTTATTGTCTTTTATTAACAGTTGGAAATTTTCCGCTTTGTGTATGATAATAGGAGAAATTTTATTCATCGATTCCGCGGAACTGATGTGTTTCTCTCCTTCCGTTTCGTCGCTTAACGTTTCGAACCGTTAGCTCAAGGGATAGCACAACATGATTCACAATCAGTTTTCTGTCTTTTGTGGTCACTTTGTTCTGTTGGCGCAGGTGCACTGTGTTACAAGGGCGGCCAACTAGAGCGTTGGCTGTTTTGTACTTGCGTCTGAAGGTCCTGTAATTGCTGTTACAATTGTAGCAATTGTTGGTGCTGTTCCTGGAGTTAATGCTGCTGCGCATGTATTTGCTGATATTGCTGATGTGATGAGTTGTTCCTGATACTCTAATGACTGAGGCGTGGGTCGGTAGTAGTGTTGTTCACGGCCTGCATGCCTGATGCTCTGTCCGAAATCAGAGCACGTTAAATCACTTTTCACTACTAGTTAGACTTAGAATTACTTTCAAGTAAACTTTAATCGCTTCACAAGCACTCGCATCTCACTGAGTGCTCAACAGTTGCCGACTGAAGTAACGATCGCGCTGCGGTCACAACCTTTAGCCACTGCTGTTAGCGCTCAACTCATCTTAATATGTAAGATTAGAATAAACACCAACGATTTAATACAATACAACGGCATCGACCAAGACGTCAAGGCCCTCTGCACAAATTAGCCCAAGTGAAATCAAAAAAATCATTTTAACATTGCAAAACATTTGAACAAGTGAATTTTTTTATAATAATAAGTAACTCACAAACAAAACAAACTTAGATGTGTAACAACCCTATTAACTTTATATTTAATTAAATTAGCAGTTTTATTTCATTCTAGAGTTGACCTTGTGGTTCCTGAATGGCGCATTTGTTCAGAATTGAACAATGGTGTTCATTTATTCCTACGTGGGTCGTATGTGAAACTGATGTCGAGTAACAAGTCGAACGAAACGATGTCGAACGATAACGAAACGATGTCGAGTGTAAAGAAGTTATTGTAATGATGCGAAAAAACGGCGAATTTTCTCTTATTATCGGGCCCTGGTAACGAAAAAGTGGATAAATCTTGTGCCTATAGTATATACTAAATTACTTCCTTTAACACGTTGTGTAACTAGAATCCATCCAGAATCATTTTGCGGATCCTTGATACCGAAAAATCGATGCAGCTAAACTATATACAGTATTTTTACGCAAATTTTTATTCCCCACTCGATGTGTCTGATGTTGCGGCACCTTGTGAAATTGAAACTGATATTTTAATTTTTGCGGTTACCAAGGATACTTTCAAAATTTAAAAAATGACAATTTTTTAAAATTCAATTTTGACAGTGGACCTCGGATGCTTATGAGAATGGTGCAGGACGTTGAGCGTTCGACTTGTACTGAGAAGAACAAATACAAAATCATACTAGATAGAGTGAACTATATAAACAGGGCAAGCAATACCGTGACAGTGAAGAGACGTTGAAGAAATGTTCCCATAAACCCGACTTTTACAATACAAAACGCAGCTTTCATAAAGGGGTAGAAAATAACAATGAAATGTCTGATCTGTCCCAAAGAGCAGCACTTAATGATGCCAATGACGTGAATGGAAATGACAGGATTAAAAATTAAGGCATTCCACGACATTCTAATTGGACTGCACAGCACAACACATTAAATGACTTTAAGACATTTCTCACACACAAATATTGCCCTGGACTTCTGAAAAACATTTAATATGCAAAGGAGATTATCTGTAAAGAACCTTTAAATTTTTTGATTTGCAGATGCGCATTGTAGACTTCTTTAAATCAATATAAATTAAAACAAAATATCTGAAGAATTTGTAGTTATTATTGATACATTTAATATGAAAAGATAAATTTTGATAACATTCGTTCGCCAACGTTTTCTTCTTTGAAATGTAGTTTTTAGATTAAATAAACAAGGTGTTCACAATATTGTTGCTGCGATATATTTTCTTGTGTTACAACCTGTTCAATATTTGAACGATTGTCGTTTCTAAATTAACCGTTTATATTGAAAACCTGGATAAGCTGAAACAAAATATTGGACACATGATTTCGGCGTAGACATGTTTTACCGTAATCGAAGTTTCATCATGTAGTCGATAAATATATTTTAAAAAGTTGGCTTGGATGTAGTTTCATTATATTATATACGTTATTTTCATTAAAAGATGCATTTTCAGTTAAATGATCATAGATAGGGCTACTGTTGCACATTAAGTATTAATTTTGTTACGTTTTGACATTCTTATTTTCACTGTAGTGTTAATATGACTAACTGCAATGACGGTTGGGGGCACGTCGTTACAAAACTAGTGCAAATACTAAAGTAACAATACCTACTAGTAGGTGCACTGTAATTTTGTTTTGAAGGGCTTGTATACTTCGCCCCACCGCTTCGAGTAAGCATTAGTGAATCCGAAATACAACCTGCCTGCAGGAAAAATAGCGATGCAGCTGGCGGGCGGCCGAGGCGCCTGGGTGGCGAGGGCGACCTTGGCGTATGGAAAGAAGGCGGCTGGGCCGGGGATATTGGGTTATGCTCTCGGCGACACCGAATAATGCATGAGCGCCGGCCGCGTGGCGAGAATAAACGGAAGCGCTCTCGCCGGAGGAGCCGCCCGGCGCGGCGCACGCTCCGCCTCTCGCTGCGGACGGCATCCAATATATCGATGCATTTCAAAACTGTATTCACATTTCCCTACGATTTTACAGCTAACCCCCCTCTCTTCCCTTGTTAATTTATAAGAAACTATCTCCACAAAGTCGGTAACTGTAAGCTGGAGAGAGAATTGGTCCTCGGGACGTCGCGAAACATTCAATGCTTTGATCTAAGCGCATAGTAATTTCGAACTGATGTCTTGTTCGGTATAGTGTTTAGGAAACGTATGTAGTATGGCACTTTTAACCTTGCAATTTGGAAACAAAAAGCATGATTGGTAATATTTTTACTTTTATAAACTATACCTGTTTATAATCATCAGGAGAAGCAGAAGTCACACATATTTCAAGCTTCTTTAGAGAATAGTAAAGTTAGTACAATCTCCTTTCGAATTTTAGTGATCAGGTTTTTGTAATAACTTAATGTTTAAAAATTGGCAGAGGATTTCACTGATTTTGAGCCGGAGAGAGATCCTCTGCGTCCATTTATTTCAGCAGATAGCGAGATCCACAAACGGCACGAAATGGTTGAAAGTACTTACAAGTTGACGTAGGGCTTTCGTGTTGACAGCATGTTGTGTTGCCAAACGTTTTGCGACATCTTCAGCTTCTTGGTTGTAGAATCATTTTCGTGGATCAACACGTGTCTCAGAAGTTTGTTGAGACTTGTATGAGCGTTGGTAGATGTAAAATAAAATGTCACTGCAGACGGAAAGATGTCTTCCGTATTGTTGATAATATTGAATTCTTGGCCAGAGGAAACAGCAGCTCCTAGCACTACCACTAGACGGTCACTCACTGCGCAATTGTAGAACACTGAATTGCCAGCTTACAGCGTAGTGAAACCAGAGAGCGTTGTTGAAGGCTCCGTACTCAACGACGGTTCGCGATACAATGCGATAAAGAGATATAAGAAAACTTCAAGCAAATATTAAAAGAAAGGTTCAAATATTATTTGCTTTTACACAAATATGATGGCTGTCTTTCTTTGTCGTAAAGAACGAGAGGAAATCGGTTCACTTCTACGAAAACACGGTAAACGACAACGTAGGCCCGCGAGCGCGAAATTTCTTCGTATTTACAATTTCAAACTTTTAAGACACGGTCAAGCTTTACTACGTCCAGTTTCATAGCGAGGCTCCGGCCTTCGGCCCACGAGTAAAACATAAAACATCCTTGAGTCTGACCAAAGCATAATTTCCATCATATTCTTTTCCAAACTACTTGTTGCCGAACACTTTTCACTTAACTCTTTGCTACGCGTGCTGACGTTGAAGACACTGCGCTTCGTCGTGAGCCATTAATAAAAATTGTCCTTAAGCCCGTCCAATGCGTTATGCCAAAATACTCCAAGTGCGAAATCTGCGTTCTCGTTCACATCACTCCTTCTTCGCTTTCGTACTTGGATCTCGTGAATTTGGAGTCGGTTCGTTACGATAAAGGGTGAGGCCCTAAATTATATTAATTGAAGCTTGGTGTAAATAATTAATGTAGGGTGCAATGTGTTATCCTACTGAGTTTCCCAGTATGCTTCGTTGCATCAAGAAAGGCACAAACCAGATATTTCGTAGGGCTGCAATATAAATTCAGTTATTCAAAAAATAGAATTATGTAAACATTTTTGTAGATCTAATTGATTTATTACGAGTCTATGTTCGAATAAATGCATTCTCGTGGTTTTGATTACAACGCATATCATCTATAAGTTAGTTTGTAACAGTACACATATCATTATTTATCACTTCCGTTACAAAACGGAACGCGTATATTTATGCTGTTTCAAAAATTGCAGTCTTTTCTGGTTATGACAGAGTAATACGTCATCATTCAAGATACAAAAACCTGTGAATTGAAGAATCCCTGGCCAATGAGGCAGTTACAATATTATTTTGGCAACTAAATAATCACATTACGGGTGGAAATGAGCATGGTTTGTGGAAAGCGCTCAGGCGAGTTTGCGGGAGGATTTCTGCGTAGCAGTTTGGTTTTAGGTGTTGAAGATGCCGAAGTCTGGAAGGAGAAAACACCTGGCGTCCGCGCTTGACTTTAATTACGTTAGAAAGAGTTGAGTAGATTAGAGTGAATTTGTTTTCTGACGGGAGTTTTCCCCCTCTTTGGTTGTTTTTTCCTCAGTCGCACCGCATGGCCTCTTTTCCACGGCGTTGGTGCGATGGACAGACCATTGGGGGTGAATGCCAAGAGGGGATAAAGTAGGATGTATGCTTTGTAATGGCTTAAATGCCTTCCGTTGTTTGATTAGTGATTCCGGGCATGTCAACGGCTAAGGTCATACATCCCTTAAGTGTAGAGCATATTTTTTATCGCGAGAGGTGGCGGTGATTTTCTCCTGCTGGATGGCGAGATACAGCGCTTATATACCCTTCAGTCTGAGGGGTCCCCAACCAGATATCTCCCACCACCGGGGCTTAGCCACATAGTATCAGGTAATGTATTTTATATGTGGAATAAATATCATACAACAAAATATTATTCTTTTTTGGTGCTTATGTATTGTATTAGGCTAAAATGTTTGCACAAATTACATTTAATACAAAATGTTTTATTTGTAAAAAAAATGCGGATACACCTCCCTTCCCTTTTATAGGTACCTGTTGAGAGGTAAGATTTTGACTCTGTCTCATCACTAATATACATGGATTAAATGTGATTAAAATATTAACCAAAGATTGTCTGGTGAATATTTTGGTAGTATCAACAATCAATCATATATATATATATATATATATATATATATATATATAGAGAGAGAGAGAGAGAGAGAGAGAGAGAGAGAGAGAGAGAGAGAGGGGCAATCAAATTCAGTTTAAGATAAGAGTATTTATTAAAATAGTAGTAATTTCAAAGAGGACAAGTTTTTTTGCTACGGTTCGCTTGGGATGTGTGCATGAATATACAGGCAGAAACTCTTACTTTGAAGGAACACTTAACTTTGAGGATTCCGTACGTCGCCAAAAACTTTCCTTTTTGAAATGACGACTATTTCAATATATACAGCAATCTTCATCTGAATTTGATTGTCTATAAACTATTGTGGATACCACCAAAATAAAATACGAATTGTGTATACAGGTACATTATTTAAAAACGCATGATAAAGGAGCCAATATGTATTTGTTTTGTGACATACCATCTCTTATTGTCAATGAAGTGCAGTTGGCTGTGAATATGTTTATCGAAGGAAAATGTTATGATTGTAGATTTAAAAAAATAACTGACTAGTGGTCTACAACAGTAAAAATGCTCCTATCTAGTTTGTGGAAAATGGGGTGCTGGTTGCAGTATGAATTCACTGTTCTGAAACGACAAGAAGTGTGAAGTGAATACTGAAGCTTTTGTCCTCGTGACTGTTGGGATAGCCATAACATAAAGCATAAGAAATTGATTCAAGCATAAGAGATTAACAAAAATAAATTATTTATACTTGGAATTTTGATTAAAAATCAAAACTGATTCCCTATTTTTGTGTTTTCCCAGTCTTCCTGGGTATCTAACGTACCATTATTGACTCCTCTCACATGGCCAGAGGCTGATTAGTTTTCCGTCAGTTTAAGCGTAAAGATTCGAAATTAGCAAAGTAAATGAGAATGTACATTGTAGATAATATTTACTTTTCTTCTTCCACATTTATCATATCTTGATCACGTTAAGCATTTATACAGGGTCTTGACATATTTGTTTAATAAAGTAAGACTCTTCCCTTTGGCTTGGTTACAGTTGTTGCATTCGAACAGAACGGATCACGACATACATGGGCGTAACCAAGCGAGGGCAGGGAAGAGCAACTGTCTTCCCATCATGAATTCGAATTTCAATCTCTTTCATTTGCATTGTACTAAAAAGTCAACTTAATTCATATTTGAAATTAACTCTTCTAAAATTAATTCCAAGTTGACATTGCTCCTTGCAGAGTATAGCGTTCATTCAATATCTCACATTGGGTGAAAATATAATTCGGAACAACAATGACAGGAGAAGGCACCAACATTATCCAGCGGATTATCCAACGGATATGATATTTTTTATATTTTTATTTAATTGGACAGTTATGTTCTTAAATTCATTGATTACATTTTTAATTAGGATTTCTTTGAAAATACCACCATGTCAGCCAATATAGACATAATTTAATCAAGCGCCACAGATTCCAAAATGACAAGTTACAGATTTAAAAATCGATATAAGAATGTGTATTCCTACTAATTAGTACGGTACTTACCCTCCTCAAGGATTCCAATTTTACAGAATTCTAATCACAAAAATTTAAATAAAACTGTTACAAAACATTATTTTAATATATAAATTATTCACTTATTAAATCATTAGATATTGTTCTAATAAGTACGCTGAACACAAGTAAGAAGGAAATGAATATAAATACCTTCGCTCTTCGTCTGTAATACATTTAGTGGTACATAAAACACAACGAAGCTCTCGAGAATAAGGCGAACCAGTACGGTTTATAAAAAGAAATATAGGTATATTAGGCCTACTACATTTGTTTCAGAAGAAACAGATAATCGGCTTCATTAGACAAAACAGGAAATCACAAAGGTTGGACTAAACAAATCAACAAGTGAATATTGAAGCTGAAAGATATGTCAATTATGACAGTTCATTGCTGGGAAAGTGAAAATGAAAAAAAAAAACTACTCATTCACATTTTATGTTTCAGAAATACAACACAGTATTGACACGCGTCAGGGGAATTGCTCCTTACGTGAGACTGAAGCTCTTACCTTTAAGTTTCCATTCTATTAAATCGCTGATGCACCGAGAACATGTAGGTTGGGACACCTAAAGCCATATTAGAGGAGTCAAACTTACATAAAATATGCGGCATTCTTCTCACATAATATTAACATACATCATATTTAATTGCTTTAGAAGTGATCTAGAAGTTTCCACCAATAGAAGACAAATTAATTGCTCTTAGATATGTGATCTAAATTAATTATCAATATTGGTTCCGTTTTACGTATTTCAATGATAATATTTGAAAGGAAATTCATTCTACAAACGCAATTTTTATTTTGTTATTAATCACTGAAGATGGTTTAATCTTATTAAATTATTTGAAAATGCTTATGATGCGTACAGTATTTTGAATCATGTTAAAATACAAGTTGATTGAGTATGAGGGTAAAAGCGGTGGAATTATAACCTTACAAATGGGCTAATTGCATGACTATTATTACTATAGCAAATAATTAGGTGATGTTTCTGCTGATTTGAAAAACGTCCGCTGGTAATAAGTTGTCAGTTCCTTTAAGTCCACTCACGAGAAGACTTCAGTGCCACTTTAAGTACGAAGAAGTAAGGTGTTAGGTGAAGACGAAGTTAGGTGAAGACGCGCAATAAACATCTTGGAAAGTAAGAGTCTTATGGATTAAAATACTAGAGCCATTTTATTTCAAAAAAGTTTATTAGGTTTTCCTCTGACGGAGAAGTATGTGTTTCAACCACCAAAACAAACATACATTTCAAAGCCAATACTAAAAACTGTTAAAGAATGGAGGTGAAAGTCTCAAGGTCTGGGGTTGTTTTTCTTGGCACGGTGTTGGTCCCATCCATCAAATTAATGGCGTTAAAAATGCAGATTTGCGTATCTTGTGGGAAGTGATTTTACCTTGATTAATGGAAGATGCCGTTGAAATGAAATTTCAACAACTATCCAAAACAGACTGCGAGGTGAAAAAAACAAACAAAACGTTTCTTCATGACGAAAACATTGATGTGAAGAGTGGTTACCATAATTTTCACACTTATCTCCTATCGAAAATTTGTGGGATATCGTCGACCAATCAAAAATCACTAATTTGGACAAATTATGGGAGAAAACTCGGAGAGATTGATATTCAATACCCGTCGATAAA